GCATTTTATACTTGTATTCTTCTTTGATCCTGTTGTTTATAAAAGAGAACTACCCCAAAGGTTCAGATCAATACCCAAAGACTTGCATCTACACGAAAGGTTTACACCCATAAATATAATTCTATGTTGATTTTGAAAGAACATCGAATAGAGATATGAATACATCGTATTACCCCAATAGAGAGCAGTGGTAAGGGAAGAGGCCTTATAACCATAACAATAGCTAAAATGAAGTGTCTGCCTTATAATACAAGTTCTTTGGTCTCGAATCATTCCAAAGACCTTTTGTAAAAAAGTGGAAGCACAAGCTTTCCGAGTATTTTTTGGATCGCTCAATGTATGGTATGCGACTTGATTGGTCAACATGGCAGCATGTCTGTTGTAAGATTACAGTTTAGTGTGGTATTGTTGCTGCTGCAAAATCATAATGATCATGTTGCTAAAATCAGACACTAGGGACTACTTCTTTTAGCACTATGTCTAACTGCTTGGCACAGGAATGATAGATGGTTGTTAATAATTGAGCCGCGTCACGACAAAACCAACATAATGGGTTTGCGACCAGCATGGATCCAGACCAGCCTGTGTATCCGCGCAGTCTGATCAGGATCCATGCTGTTCGCTTAAAAAGTCTATAACAAGTAGAGAAACTGATAGTGAACAGCATGGATCCTGATCAGACTGCGCAGATGCGCAGGCTGGTCTGGATCCATGCTGGTCGCAAACCCATTATGTTGGTTTTGTCGTGACGCGGCTCTTATATTTCAATGTGAAATTGAACAAGCAACTCGTGTACCATGTCTTATCCCAGGTACAAGAACCTTTTAATTATAGTTACATCATGGTTAATATATTGATAATAGGTGCAACAGGTTGATCACTATTGTGAATGGTAGTGCAATGTGTGACTGAAGCTTAACGGTAAAAGTTTGCACAGGGAAAATCAACATTTGCAGAGTTCTGGATGACAATTCTATTGAGTGCAGAAGTTGGATGGAAAGATTCTTTAAAGTGACTTTGTGCTCCTATTTTCATCGTGAAGTTGAACTTTTTTTTTTTTTTACAAAGGATTGACTGTTATAATGGTAATTTACAAGCAGTTGATATCCGAGAAAGTTAAGGATAAAAAATAAATCTTCCTACGAGATAAAATGAGTTTTTATAAATTGAACTCCCAAGATAAATTCCAACAGAAATTTATAGAAATTTCCTTGGACCACTTTATTTATTTATCTGTCATGCAAAGTAAATTATGAAATTGAAAGGAATTATGGAAAAATGCAAATTTATTTTTGACTTTCACCCATTCACTCTCTTTATACCCTTTGTTTATACAAATTTATTTTAGTTCAATTGTGTTGGAAGCTATAAGCTAATTGAAACACTCTCGAATCCGTTCCTGGAACCAACCAGTACTAAGCAATGAATGTAAAGTTTCTTGCTCAAGGAAACAACGGCTTGTCCCTGACAGGGTTTGAACCTGCGCGGTCAGCAATCCTTAGATTCCTAGTTCGACGCGTTAACCACTCGGCCACTACAACCATTTTATACAATGTCACTTTAATCCTGCTTGTGGTAGTAAATCTAAATGCTGCAATAATCTGTCTATTACCTGCTGAACATACATGTTTGTAGTGGAAAGGTAAGTTATGTTTGTTAATGGTTTGTTATTAACCTATTTCACAAGAGAACTTGTCCAGATTGAAAACTTGTTAATATGTAGGGGGATTGTATTAGAAATTTGCCAAAGGATGGTATAATAGCAATTAATCCATCCCACTTCCTGCTCTTATCAAACTGAACAGTTTAGTAATGTAATATTTTAAAGACATTTCTGGGAGTAGTGCAATTTTTTAACAAAGGCAAAGGAAGAAAATTTAAGCAAGCACGTTTAAAGAGAATCATGAAAACATTTTTGGGCCACCATCGTACTTTTTAAATTTCCACCCTCTAAAGAGTGTTTTTTTGCTCTTAAGGTCATTTTGAATCATTATTTATCACAATAGAGGGATTATTTACCTCAACAGTCAATCATAATAGATGTATCTATCATGACATTAAATCACAACAGAGGTATTTATCATGACATTTAACCACAATGGAGGTGTTTACCAGGACATTTTATCACAACAGAGCTACATGTATTTATTACGACATTTAACCACAATCGAGGTGTTTACCATGACATTAAACCACAACGGAGGTGTTTACCATGACATTTTATCACAACAGAGCTACATGTATTTATTATGATATTTAACCACAATGGAGGTGTTTACCATGACATTTAATCACAACAGAGGTATTTACCATGACATTTAATCACAACAGAGGTATTTACCATGACATTTAATCACAACGAAGGTGTTTACCATGACATTTAATCACAACGGAGGTGTTTACCATGACATTTAATCACAACAGAGCTACATTTTTTTTACGACATTTAACCACAATGGATGTGTTTACCATGACATTAAACCACAACGGAGGTGTTTACCATGACATTTAATCACAACAGAGGTATTTACCATGACATTTAATCACAACGGAGGTGTTTACCATGACATCTAACCATAAACAGAGGTGTTTACCATGACATCTAACCATAAACAGAGGTGTTTACCATGACATCTAACCATAAACAGAAGTGTTTACAATGACCTTTTAATCACCTTAGAGGTATTTATCATGACCTTTTACCACAGCGGAGGTGCTCTCCATTACATCTAACCACAACGGAGGTATTTATCATGACATCTTACCACAACAGAGGTGTTTACCATGACATTTTAATCACAAAAGAGGTATTTATCATGACCTTTTACCACAGCAGAGGTGTTTATCTTTCACATAACTTCTTTTATGATTGTGACTTTATAGTTCATGTCATCAGCACATATTTCATTGTTTGACCTTTTGAATTATTTTCTTGACGCATCTGTGGCCAAGTGGTTCAGGTCAATGATTTCAAACTATTTGCCCCTCACCACTGCGGGTTCGAATCCCACTAAAGACTTTGGATTCTTACATGTGAGGAAGCTATTCAGCTAGATTAATGAGCATGAATGGCTCTACAGATGTGCCCATTTGAACCTGAAATAATGCAATATACAGAAATTATATATGGCCATATGACTTCTTTGCTGTTGTGCTAGTATAATTCCCCCCCCCCCCTAAAAAAAAAAAGAAGAAAAAAATGTTTTGAGGGTGTTGGGGTATGGAACTACAACAATGTACCAACACTGTAATCTGTTATATGTATGATTTATTCATAATTATGGTATAAAAGATGAACATATTTCTAACTTAAATAACAAAGAGTTAAAATATAAAATGAAAACTACAAAAAACTACAAAACTAATGCATAAATTATTATCCTCTATTTACAACAATTCTAAACATTGCACTGAAAAAGAAAGAAATTGAATGTTTAAAAAAAAAATAGAAATGAGTCCATAGAACGTAGACACGCCCCCATGCCCAGTCAGTCTACGGACCCGCACCATTTTATAACGTGTGGGTATAAAACCCCGCAAAAAATTAAATAATGAAAATATATTTATATGAACATGACAATATTACCTGAATCATAGAAAACACTATATGTATATAGCACAGACAATAAATATAAGAAGGCATTTCCAACACATGTATATAAAAAGAAAAAAATGAAAATTAATCAAGATGATGTTATTCTTTATTATATACTTATAAATAAAATATTGAGAAATATTGGTGGAACAAATTCGTATTTTCACTGAAAAAACTTTTTTCACTGCAGTGAAACATATTTTCCGTATTTTCACTGGTGTCTTGCCAGACTTCTTTCTTCTAAATTCATCCAATACACAAAATTAAGAGGAAATCTTTCAAATTGAAATGTCAAAACAAAGAAAAAAGTATATAATAAACAGAATATTTAAGTTCTTTCTATAAATACAGGATTTATTATTATACTTATTAATGAAATATTGAGAAATATTGATGAAATAAAATGCGTATTTTCATTTTCTGTATTTTCACTTTAAAAATTTATTTTTCACTGCAATGAAACATATTTTCCGTATTTTCACTGGTGTCTTGCCGGACTACTTTCTTTTAAATTCATCCAATACACAAATTTTAAGGGGGAGTCTTTAAATTGTAATGTCAAAAAAAAAAAAAAAGAAAAAAAGTATATTATAAACAGAAAATTCAAAATTTTTCTATTAATACAGGATTGATTTTCAGCTTGTGGTATAAAAGTCATCATATTTCACTCGTGGCTACAGCCACTCATGAAATATTTATTTTCATACCACTCAATGAAAGTAAATCCTGTATTTATAGAAAAAACCTTGAATATCCTCTATTTATTTTCATCTTATGGTATAAAAATTAACATATTTCACTCATGGCTACAGCTACTCATGAAATATTTATTTTCATACCACTCAATGAAAATAATTCCTGTAATTATAGAAAAAACTTAAATATACTCTTTATATTTGGTAACAATGGATATCTGTTGGGCTGTTTAACATCTTAAATTGATAATATTTAATGATTTAACAAAAATAAAAACCTATTCTTTGTCCTTTACTAAAAAATAACAAAAAATAATTTGTTCTGCTTTGAACATATGAATTAGAAACTAAAAAATTTGTTCCAGGAAATGATGAGTATGAAAAATACATCTGTATAAGCACAACAAATTTCAACATCTGTAAATATTTCATGATTTGTTGATTTTTTGCAGCAATCTGTAACTTTCAAATTGAGAAATTTTAGTGTGGGAAACATAATTTTTATTTGGAAAATTAATTTATCAATACATAATGATAAATTCACTTACAAATATATATACAGATAAGCTTTATCTGCCTAAAAAGTTCAGCTAGTTTGACGGAAACTTTTCAAATTTTTGCTTTTCAAATTTTTGAGAAACTCCAAAATTGAATTGGGTATTTCAACAGTTTTTGTTCATTTGGTAAAGGCTTCAATCTCAAGCAAAAACTGTTCAGGCATGTATGAGAAAATGGTAACTGCTAGAGAATAGCATTAATTATACAAAAATTTAACAATAAAAGGAGACTAGCAAAACTTTTACTTCATTGCCAAAACTGTAATTGTATTATAACCATGTACTTGCATTGAACTTTTCTTAGAATTACAGGAAAACACCATACAAAATTAAAACATCAAAAAATCTAATAAGTAATTTTATATGGCATAATTGGGTTTACCTTCCATGTTGGTAAATAGACAGTACTTTGTGGTAAATAGACTGTACTTTGTGGTAAATAGACTGTACTTTGTGGTAAATAGACTGTACTGTAAGTGGGATTGGTATACCAGTAGTGTAGGCATTAACAAGGTTAAATGGGAGACAAAGGGATAAGAAGCTCCAAAAATTAAATATTTTCGCAACCAGACCCACAATCCATTGCACAAGATTAATTGGCCCTTGAAGATGGTCGATTTCCGCCATCTTGTTTTACGTAAACAAATGTTTATGTTGTTTATTTGTCTTGATCAGTTTCCATTTTAATATAATTTCCTCCAATTTTAGCATATTTACACAAACACAAAAATAATAATTATAGAAATTCTCAATTTAATTTCTTGGCAATTTCAAGATGATGAACATTCTAAGTCTTTGGAAATCTCACAGAAAATGTGGATTTGCATGGTAATTAATCGCTGGTGCAGATTTTAAGCGTATGACACCATAGCTTCCTCTTCATTTAAATTCGACACTGTGGTTAAATGAAATCAGAACCTTGTAATTATGACACTTTTTAAAGAAATTTTAAGACAGGCAGCATAATTATATAATATTTGGTAAAACAGAACCTTGTTTGTTACATTGAAATCAAATCAAATGCATTATAACATGGTTTCCATGCCATTCATGAAACATGGCAGTCATCAACTAGTATCCTATCAACACATTGTGACCATCAACAGTCCTGTTATCCAATGAAAAGTTAACTAACATTGCTACCATCACATGGTAGCCAATCAGAAGCTAGATTACACGGTCCCCATCACTCAGAATCCAATCAGAAGTTAGGTAACATTGCTACCATCACCACAAATCCCATAAACAACACAAACAGTATGAATGGTGTAAATGGTCCCCACAAAGGCCAAAGGCCAACTGTTAGACTGCAAGAAAAAGAAACCAGGGTGATAACACATGCTTTATTTATTAACTGAAAATACAAATCAAAAATGGTAATATATATGTTTGCAATATGAGCCCATCGCACAGGCCTTAAACATTATTTTGCTTACGGCTTCGAAAAAGAGATGATATAGGTGAGTAAAGTAAAACTTTTTTATTTACTTACTTTCACTAAAAACAGTATCCAATGATTTGAACAAAAACCATTGTATTACATTTTGTTATATACTTATAAATGAAGTATTGAGAAATATGCAATAAAATGCACATTTTCATATTTTGTATTTTCAATGCAAAAATTTATTTTTCACTGCAGTGAAACATATTTTCCATATTTTCACTGGTGTCTTGCCAGACTACTTTCTTCTAAATTCATCCAATACACAAAATTTAAGAGGAAGTCTTTAAAACTGTAACATCAAAAAATAGAAAAATGTATATAATAATAAACAGAAAGTTTTTTCTATAAATACAGGATTTATTTTCATGTTGTGGTATGAAAATTATCATATTTCACTCATGGCTATTGCCACTTATGAAATACCGTATTTATTTATATACAACTGGATAAAAATAAATCCTGTATTTATAGAAAAATCTTAAATATTTTTCTTTAAATACAGAATTTATTTTCATGTTGTGGTATGAAAATTATCATATTTCACTAGTGGCTATCGCCACTGATGAAATATTCATTTTCATACAACTCGATGAAAATAAATCCTGTATTTATAGAAAAATCTTAAATATCCTCTATATATATCATAGGAGATATTTGTTTGTTTTGCCTGTAACATCAAAGTATGTTTGAGTGTACCCAACTTAGATGCAATATTTATATAAATGGCTATGTCATTAATGAAAATACAAATGTTGAACAGCTTGTCTTCACAAGATAATATAATTTAATGTAACGAGCAAAATGAGTGAATTTTCTATTTTGATTTCATGCTTTTTAGTGGCTCTATGTCAGATTGTTCTTTTTGCTTTATAGTTAGCTATCAAAAGACAAGATAGGTACAGATAGGTTTTTCAGGTTAGAAATTATTGGTAAACATAAATATCCAGATTTCATATAAAAGAGAGGTAACTTCTGTGCATTAATTCTTCACAATGCTAATAAAGATTTAACTCATTAGATATTTCAATACCTACCTGTAAATTTCTAACAATAATCATATCTTAATTAATCAGATTATAAAGGTATAAGGAATGTTTGTTTTTTTATTGGCTGGGATTGGTGCAAGATCCGCCATTGTAACATGCTGGTATAATTATCATATAAATCAAACTTTATAACTTTGCTAAAAGTTCACAATTATCAAGTCATTTTAAATTATATGACCAAACAAGGACAGGATTGGGGGGGATCCCCCCAATTAGGTTCAACAAAATGCACACTACATATAAAACGAAAAAAATAATAACAACCAAACAAACCCCCCACTCTGCACCAACCCCAAAACAAAACCCCAAAGAACTAGAGCAGACCACTTACAATATTCCACCAAAAACAAAGGCTGCTGTTGCTATGGGAATTAAAGAAGGGTACTTTCTCTCCCAGTCATCAGAACTGACCTTCTTGATGTATGACAGGTAGACTATGAGAAATATTGCTATACAAACATTTACAGCCACTGACAGAGCCCCTATGTTAAACCATAACCTGAAAAAAATAAAGTTAGATTAAAATATGTCTTGTTTCTAGTCTTCAAAGTATTCCTAATTTTTTATACTGGCCCTATGCATTTTAAAGTGACATTATGCCATTAAAACCACGCCTTTGAAATTCGTTCAGACCAATCAATGTTTCAGGGATTTCGATATTAACATATAGAAAATGAGCTATCAACAATATACAGTCTTGTAAAACTGCCTGGCAGAGCAAGCTGCACTGGTTCTATACTGTGACAATGACAACTCAGTTTCGGTTCCGGCAAGTTTGGGGTTAAAATATATAAATCGTTCTGGTCAGAAAGAAAAAGCCTTAAGATGCTGGTAGCATAATGTTAGCAAATATGTCAAACATAATATATTATTGAACATATAAAATTCTCAACAATTTCATGTTTTCATTATGAAAGTGGTTAAAAAAAGATGAATGCTGCTTTGATCCTACATATGTGGTGGTGGTATTGATAGTTTTCACTCTGGATCACAACAGCAAGCCACACTGAAGTTACTAGATGACAGTTCAGCCATCATGGGCAACTGTCAAGCAGTTTAACAGTACTAGTTGCCAAACTGTTACTTCTGTACATGTCAGAGCAGAGGTACAGTGTGAATGACCATAGAAAGGATTTCATGACTTATCACAACAAAAGTGACTTGCACTGTCCGGCAATCGAACTCGAGTCGCCGGATTCACAGGCCAATGCTCTACCTATTGAGCTAACCAGATGGCTTTTTAGCCTACATATAATATTTTATGCTGACTATATCAGTTTTTGCCACACAATAATCAATGTTGTTAATATATTATGAAAACTGCTAATCTGTTATGTTGACATTATCATATGCCTATTACAGATATTTACATACAAGGTTTTTTATTAGATATTAGATTTAGTTGGTGGAACATCTGTTGTAGAGGTATATTGTTTACTTGATATCATACCCTATAAATCATTCAGTAATTAAATGTATACCTTATAACAGCATATATAAAATATACAACACACCTCTTTGATTTCAACATGTACAAAAATCTATATCTCTGTTATCACCATTTAATTAATGTAAAATAGAACTGACAGTTCAAACAGTCTTAAAAGAGTTCTTTCCCTTTGACTGTAAGAATTTCAGAACAAAGAAAAAAAAAGGGTATGAGTTCTTTTCTTTTGACTATGTCAAAATGAGGAGTATGAGTTCTTTTCTTCTGACTATGTCAAAATGAGGAGTATGAGTTCTTTTCTTTTGACTATGTCAAAATGAGGAGTATGAGTTCTTTTCTTTTGACTATGTCAAAATAAGGAGTATGAGTTCTTTCCTTCCGACTACATGTATGTCAAAATAAGGAGTATGAGTTCTTTTCTTCTGACTATGTCAAAATAAGAAACATTACCATCTTTCTGATCCATCAAGTGAACATAGTCTTTAAGTAAAATGTTTCCAGATCCAGGCTGCACATTTGTGCAGACTGACCAGGTTCTATACTGTTGGTAACTCAAGTCAACTTTTGTATATTGGTATTGAAACCACACAAAATTTGCACGGTTTGTTCCACATTCAAAGCATGGCAAATCTATTACACAATTTTCAGCAGGTTAAAGGTTAAATCAGATCAGTTTATATGACAGAGCCTAAACTTTATGTCTAAATCAGAAGTACCAAACTTTGATCTCACTTGGTTTTCTGCACATTTTCACAATCTACTTGAAATACATGATGTATTTGTACAGTCATTAAAAGTAATGAATAACAAGAGCTAAATATCTATGATTATATGCTTTAGGACCTCAGTAAAGCCCCTTTAAACCCATTGTGCATGCTAACAGAAAGAATTTTCAAGGTTGCATTCCTTTGTCTTAGGGCTGTCATTGATGGAAAATTTTGTATCGATATACCGAGAGACAAATATCGACGATGCATCGATATATCGACTTTGACAGTAGATACAATGAAAAACATTTATATATGTGTTATAAATTGGGAACAAAATGATAGCATGCTTGTAGTACACATTACAAATACTACAAACTAACAGAAAGTCTGTTTTTTTCTGTTATTCTTGTCACTGACATTTGAAAACGGAGTTTAAAGTTCAAGTTAACCAAGATAACTAGAAAAAAGTTACTTCTCTTATGAGCCAAAATAGAGAGGTATATCAACTAACAGAAATAAATTTTTTTTAGCTTGTATCGATATGTGAAAGTGTGTACCGATATTGTATCGGATGATGAATATCGATGATATATCGATATCACGATATTCAATGACAGCCCTACTTTGTCTAAAGCAGTACCATACTATTTAAAGAATACATACCTGTTTATTCTATGGTCATACAAAACAGCCCTGTAAAAATCTGTGTAGTAGAAAACTCCTATCGAAGCTATCAACCAGCAAATGTTCTGAAACAAAAATTATATCAAACTTCAATATTTTGATACTTATACATTTTTTATTATTATGTTTTTTGCTGTTCAGGAGCAATGTTTTTTTGTCATAATCCCCTGAGTAGAATATGCTCTTTACATCAAATGATCAAGGGAGATAAGATTTAGGACCAATTTGTTTCACAGTTGGTTGAATATTAACCTGTCCAGCACAATCTTGTGTTAATTAAATACACAGTATACTACATGTGTGATGTACAAGTCAACTTCATCATGAATAGAACACAACAGAGTATATAACATATACATGTATGAGCCGCGTCATGACAAAACCAATGTTATGTGTTTGCTACCAGCATGGTTTCAGACCAGCCTGCGCATCCGCGCAGTCTGATCAAGATCCATGCTGTTCTCTATCAGTTTCCTTTCTTGTAATAGGGTTTCCAAGCGCAGGCTGGTCTGGATCCATGCTGGTCGCAAACGCATTATGTTGGTTTTGTCGTGACGCGGCTCAATTATACAATGTACTGACTATGGCAAAGAGTACAGGCCATGATCAGACAACCTTGATGTGCCAGCTGACTTTGGTTTGCATGGGCTGCATGAGTAGAGTAAGTTGCCACCAGGAGGCAATGGGTTAGTGTGAAGGTGGTAATGGTGTTGGTAGTTTTCACTCGTCTCCGGATCACAGCAGTTAACCACATTGAATTTACCACAGCACAGTTCAGCCATCCCATCATTCCTGGGCAGTCTGTCAAGCCGTTTACCAGTACTCGTTGCCTTCACTTTCACAAGGAACTGATTACTTCTGTACATGCCAGAGTAGAGCTACAGTGCAAATGACTGTAGATCAATCACAAAGAAAGTTAACTGTGTCGCCCGGAAATCAAACCCTGGTCGCCTTGTTCATAGCCCAACACTCTACCTATTGAGCTTACCGGACGACTTGGTTAGTGTGAACGTGTCAGCCTTATTATATATACATGTAAATAAAATACCTGTATACTGTAAGCAGACTCAATCTTCCGGAAGCGATTATTTTGTGCATCAAACTTTTTCTTTGTATCACTGTCAAGTTGTCTAAACTCAGTCAATCTGTCACCATCATACTCATTCTTCAAAATACCATCTATAAAATGAACAAAACAACATTCAGTTAATGGTATTTCATATTTGTTGTAATTGACAAAAAGAAAAAAGAAGCTTATTTTAAAGAATTAAAATGAAAGTTTTGTCACCCTGTCATTTATTGACATCAACATGAATTTTCTGCTTAAAATGGGTAGTTGTGAAAATTTTGTTTTGTATTTTTGAATAGATAAATATCAAATTTAGTTTTTACATACAAAGATTTTCCCTACCAATATAATAATTTAGGGACATTAAGTTTGACGAAAAATTATGACAGGTTAACAAGACATCTAGCTCCTATTTCAAATATGTCATGGTAAATATTTATAAAATTAAACACTATTTTTTATTTTGAAGTCAACAACAGCTGTAAGAGGAGAAAGAGCGCTTGACTAATACAATACTGGACACAGTAAAGAAAGACATGACGATCCCCATAGGCAGAATGTTGAGCCCCCTCGTCTTAATTTAAACCTGACCCTATAAGCTTCAGATCAAGGTGAAAGATGTATACAAAGGTAATATGTGCACAACACATCCCCTTTATACCAAAGGCAAAACCTTGACATTGCATCAACTTAGGTGACCTTGACCTCCAACCCAGTGACCTGGTTCATGTACATGACACAAGATCTCATGATGAACATTTGTGCCTAAAAAACTTGTTCATGTAATTAGAAAATTCCTCCATGTATGAAGAAGTTATGGCATGCACAAGTCTTGATGCATGTATGCACACACAAACACTGAACAGCCATTTTGACAATTATGTCCAACTCAGCAAAAGCATTTTGAGGGGTTGAATTCTATGTCACACTCCCTTTCCCAGATTTTATTGAGAACCTCCTCAGTTAGAGTTACAGTGCCTACAATGTTGTCTGCAAAGTTCATTAATATAAATGAGAAAGCTGAGTGGCAACAGAGCCTTTGGGAATGCCATAATTTACAGGGCCTTCTGCAGAGTGTTCTTAATGTACTATAATTGTTTGACACTAACCAATTAAGAAGGAACTGAAAGTTTGTATTGAAACACTGTTTTTCCTTGAAGGGTGGGGAGTAATTCAACTAAATCCTTTCTGAATTTCAAAATTCAATTAAAAGTATCTAAATTCAAAGGGAAGATAATTCTTGAAATAAAGTTGCTACTGGTCGGGGACCATCAACCGGACACTTTTTGAACATTTTTCCGTACACAATTCATAATTTTTAACCTAGAGACCAAAAAAAATGACATGGTTCAGCTAGGTTCTTCTCTCAACTAAAAAACTAGTTTGTTTATTTATGCTTGTATTGACACTTATATCTGAGGCTTGACAAAGAGGGTATCAAAATTACCTAAATTGTCTACACTACAGTACCATGTGTCCGGACAGATATGTACATGACGTGATTTACTTCAGATAAAAGCTTAGGTGTTTTGATTTTTAACATGATTATACATTATTTCAGCAACAAATGCTGAAGTTTTGGATACTCTAATGTTTGCTCTGCAAATGATAAAAGCTGGTATATGAAGTCAGGCATTGCTTTCTTGACCCCCAAATTTCAACATCAACATTCTTGAAATAGACATTAAAATATTAACATTTAAGTAGGTTGAAATAAATTCATTGACTTAATTTTAGAAGAAACATGCATTTATTGTTGATAAAAAAAGTAACTGACAACCACTAAAAAAAGAAAATACTATATTTAGCATTTTAGGGGCCATCTGGGTTTGATGGTTGTCCGGATTTGGTGGTCCCCAACCAGTAAAGTTATGAACATTGTCATGTGTGAAGTGGGTCATGATTCAGGTCCAGTATGTATAGACTTTAAGTCTGTTAATTAAAAATAAAGAAATTGAATTAAGATAAAAAATAAAAATACAGAAAATTCTTTGTTTAATGGGGGAGATTATTCTCAACATGTGGGTGCGTTAGAGGTGAAAATGAATTATAATATGGATACTTATAACTAATATAAGGAACATAAAAAATTATGTTTCAAGTAAATCCTAAAATAAAGGTTTATGTAAAAAATAAAGATAAGGCACAATTAAATAATGTTTCACCATAGAGTATTAGTGATTAATCACAGTTAAATTACTATTCACTACTGGTTGGGGACCACCAAAACCGGACAACCATCAAACCCGGACGGCCCCAAAAATGCTTAATTTAGTATTTTCTTTGTTCAGTGGTTGTCAGTCACTTTTTTTATCAACAATAAGTGCATGCTTCTTTTAAAATTAAGTTAATAAATTTATTTCAACCTCCGTAAATGGTAATATTTTAATGTCTATTTCAAAAATGTTGACGTTGAAATTCGGGGTTCAAAAAAGCAATGCCTGACCTCATATACCAGTTATAATCATTTGCAGAGTGAATAATAGAATATCCAAAACTTCAGCATTTGTTGCTGACATATTGTTTATCATGTTACAAATAAAAAATCAAAACACCAAGCTTTTATCTGAATTAAATCACATCATGTACATATGGCCATTATTTTTTGATATTTCGGTTTACTGATCCGCCGACTCTGTATTTTGGGAAAATGAAAAAAAAAAAAAAAAAAAAAAATTCTGCCCCCAAAAAAATTCTGTGTTGTCTTGAAATACGCTGCTTATAACGACTTGTCAAAGAAATGTCGCGGTAAGTATTTTAATTAACTGTTAAACCTACCATATGCCAGACTATTTTACATACGCTTTATACAGTGAGATACGCAACCGGTTATCTTTACTCGAGAATAGCCTGTCATAGCCTGTCGTCTGCTAGTTGGGGAAAGTGTTTATTGGTGTATTATGAAAGAATGTCTGTTAAATGGGGTCAAGTCATTCTCACAGAATTATAATTAGGCTTTGATGATATTTCATCAATGCATTGAAGGTCGAAATGCGTAAAAATGTAAAAAAAAACCAAACCAAAAAAAAAAGCCAAATTACGTAAGCAATTACATTCAAGGACAGAGCGAGAGAAATCTGCTGCAATTGACAAGATCAGTATTTTCAGATTTAACAAAAAAAAAAATTAGTCTTTAAAAGCAGATTGAATACAGGTTTTCAAACAAACAAAATAAAAAAATGCCCGCACTTACTTTTAATAGATTTTTATGTCAAAAATTGACCTGCTTTTTATCCGATAAAAATATTTTCACAATGGGCAAAATTGAACATGACTTTGTGTAATCTTTTCTTGACACTTCTTTTAACATCTGATCTATAAAGAAATGAGTGCAAGTCAGCTGATTTTCGGCACCTTTGATGATTCAGAATCAGATTACACAGCAGTGTGTAAACATCAAAGAATGACAGATTCTTTTGAAGAGCTCGCTTGCCACTTGTCAAAAGTCATTGTGTGTAGATCTCATGTGTGTTTTTAAACAATGGCAATATGAGCAAAAGTTTTTTTTTGTGTATTTAAACAATCTTTGGAATAGACAATCGGCGATGTATTTAATTTCATTGCTCTAGTAAGTACTATGTATATGTATGCACCACATTTATAGTCATGAAAACTTTTTTTTTTTTTGCCGCCGCCGCCGACCCTGTCTTTTTTTGGAAAAAATCAGTAAACCAAAATATAAAAAAAAATTGGCCTATCTGTCCGGACACATGGTACTGTAGTGTAGACAATTTAGGTAATTTTGATACCCTCCTTGTCGAGCCTCTGATATAAGTTTCAATACAATCAGAAATAAACAAACTAGTTTATTAGTTAGGAGAAGAACCTAGTTGAACTGTGTCGAATTTTCTGGTCTCTAGCAGTCTAGGTTAAAAATTATGAAATCTGTACGGAAAAGTGTTCCAAAAGTGTCCGGTTGATATCTTATTTTAAACATAAGAAAACAAATACATTTTATAACCAAAATTACAGAAGAAAATAGTTAACAAGGACAGAGTGAAAGTATAAACATCTTGATCGATTATGTATTCCTAGTCAATTACAAATTAAAACACAGATTACAAATAAACTATTTCAAAATTTATCCGATTTCAAAATGTCCGATTGCTACACTAGTTTAACATGAATTGCACTTAGAATTTAATATTTTTCTCTATTACGCTAAGTATTACGAAGATGTTATGAAGTTAGATTCACCAGGGTCAATTTGATCTAAGTATTTTCCAGCGATTCGTTTCTGAACACGGCGATGAATCTGTTGTTGTCTGTCGTTTGTTGTTGTTGTTTCCGTTTCCATTTTGTCTGAATATTGTACTTACTGAAAAATGATGTTTCCGTGTGCATAATATATACTTTGAAATATCTTTTAACTTCTAAGTTTTAGGGGGAATGTCTAATGAAGTTTCATGGTGTTGCATTTGGGTTTTTCATCTTAATTGAAATATGTTGTCTTAGAATAACATATCTTGCCAACTCAAGACAAATTGGCTAAAACTATATTTTGTAGTAAGTACAATTAAATTGGCCAATAGAATTATTGATGACAAACACACCTTTCTAAAAAAAATAGAGGTCAAGGTCGAACAGATAACGAGCAAGTTGAACAGAGAAGAGGAGCCGTGTTATCAAATCACTGCTAAAGGAAAACAGCGGTATTGTTTGATTATGTTTATTTTGTTGGATGTGTTTTAGTTACAAGTATTTTTTCTGTGGATAAAATTCTCAACTTGACATGTCATCTTTCTGATGATGTCAACTTTGCATCATTGCAACAGAATCTATAACAGTTTAAATAAGTGCAGCCTACAGGATCACTGTCACCGATAGTGTTCTGACATCTGTGTTCCTCGTGATAGTCATTCTTTTAATTAAGAGTTTGTGAGACATAGTAGAGGCATTGTCTTAATCTAAATCACTTTGATACTGCTACAAATAATGCATGATTTCATCTAATGCAGATTACCAGTAGACATCATCTATGGTGGCTGATTTGTGCCATTCATGTTTTGACATCATCTATAATGGCTGCTGGCAACTCAGCCAAGCAAAAAGTCCAGAATTAACAAGTTAAAATGGCAGGATTCAGAGCGAAAACACATGAATTAGCAGGGGCATATATTTTAATAAATAAAACTTTGCCCTCTGGGGTTGCTGATCGAGATTTAAGGCGTAAAATGATGGGTGCGTGGAGCGAAAACACGCCTTCACTCCATACCCAGCCATTTTAACTCTTGAATTCTTGACTTTGACTAGGTTTAGTTTTATATTAAACTTTGACACGGGACCCCGCTTATTAGCTCGCCCCTGCCATTTTTGTGTCGCCTTGAAAAAGGCGACATATAGGGGTTACTTTTGTCGGCGGCGTCGTTGTCGGCGTCATTGTCGGCGTCCCCTAAAGCTTGTCCGCAGCATAAGTCAGTCATTATAAGTCGGATTGACTTCAAACTTGGTATGCATGCTTCTTATAATGACCCAAAGTGCAGTGCACAAGAACCGGTACTCTGCACTTCTTATTTTTTGAGTTATTGCCCTTTTTTTATTTTCCTACTTTATTTTTGTCCAGGCCATTTCTCCTAAAGTATAAAAGCTATGGACTTGAAACTTCATAGGATGATAGATCTCATTAAGAAGAAGTGCAGTGCACACGAACTGGTACTCTGCATTTCTTATTTTTTGAGTTATTGCCCTTTGTTAATTTTCATACTTTATTTTTGTCCAGGCCATTTCTCCTAAAGTATAAAAGCTATGGACCTGAAACTTCATTGGATGATATATCTCATTAAGAAGAAGTGCAGTGCCCAAGAACTGGTACTCTGCATTTCTTATTTTTTGAGTTATTGCCCTTTGTTAATTTTCATACTTTATTTTTGTCCAGGCCATTTCTCCTAAAGTATAAAAGCTATGGACCTGAAACTTCATAGGATGATAGATCTCATTAAGAAGAAGTGCAGTGCCCAAGAACTGGTACTCTGCATTTATTATTTTTTGAGTTATTGCCCTTTGTTAATTTTCATACTTTTTTTTGTCCAGGCCATTTCTCATAAATTATAAAAAACTTTAGACTTGAAACTTAACAGGATGATAGATCTTAGTGATAAGAAGTGCAGTGCCCAAGAACTGGTACTCTGCATTTCTTATTTTTTGAGTTATTGCCCTTTGTTAATTTTCATACTTTATTTTTGTCCTGGCCATTTCTCATAAATTATAAAAGCTGTAGACTTGAAACTTAATAGGATGATAGATCTTATTGATAAGAAGTGCAGTGCCCAAGAACTGGTACTCTGCATTTCTTATTTTTTGAGTTATTGCCCTTTGTTAATTTTCATACTTTAATTTTGTCCAGGCCATTTCTCATAAATTATAAAAGCTTTAGACTTGAAACTTCATAGCATGATAGATCTTATTGATAAGAAGTGCAGTGCACAGAAACTGCTGATCTGCATTTCTTATTTTTTGAGTTATTGCCCTTTGTTGATTTTCAAATTTCATTTTTGTCCTGGCCTTTTCTCTTAAACTATATTGTTCACAAGGCGACACATCCGACTCGCGGAGTTCTAGTATTTCTAAAATCTCACTCCGTGCCCCTGCGGGGTGATGTTTAATTAAACTTCCCTCTGCATCCCCGCTAATTAGCATATTTTTCGCCCTGCGCCCCCGTCATTTTAACTTGTTACTTCTTGACTTTTCGCTTGGCAGGGTCGTACGGCAAAAACATGAATGGCACAAATCAGCCACCATAATCATCAGATCATTTGATTCTGCATTTAACACTTTTTTTACTGTATAGTTAAAAAAAGTAGTTGTTGTCAAAGATGTTCTCATTATGTTTTAGAGAAGAGTCTTCAAACTAAATTTTAGGCAGATTATGCCTCAGAATATAATAAATTTTTACTTTTTATATGCCCACAAGAATTTCGGCATATATTGATAATTATGCACCTGGTTGTCTGTTGGTCCGTCTGTTAGCAGGTTTTCTTGTCCAGTCTGTATTTTTGAACTGGTTAACCATAATGAGACGATGTGCAGAGGGCAGGTTTGACCATCCTCAGGTCAAAGTCATACTTAGTCATTTTGTATCAATTTCAAAATTTTGTGTCTGCTCTGTTTCTTTTAAACTGATAGTATGAAATGATATCTATTTAGCAGAAATATTTATATTACTGAGATGATGTGCAAAGTGTTGTTTTGGACTACCTCAGGTCAAGGTCACATCAACTCATTCAGAATCCTTATTTAAGTGTATATATTACAGGGAGATTACTATGTATGAATTTATTAATATGTTTCCTCTCAATCTAATTCGTGTATATGTATTGACCTCTCGTTATTTTCCAAAATCTATTACTTTTTAGTGGGTTTTTTTTTCAAACTTCATATTTTTAGTTTTTTTTCCATGTTAAGATTATAATAATTGAGTACAAAAGATAGGTAGACGGTAATAAGAAAACATTTTTATGTGCTCAAAAATATTATATTTATGTTAAAGTTACATTTAATAAATTTCATAAAAAACTAAATAGCGACATTTCATTAATAAATTGGGTTTTATATCGACTCCAGGTCTTATTTTAGTGTCCAAACAACTAAAATGAGTTTTATTAACATAAAAATAGGTAACCTCATTGTGGCGAAATGGGAAGTACAATTTCTGTTTGCATGAGAAACTCCGCCTTCGGATCATCCGTACATTAGTATTAAATCAACAAACATGACTATAAGTGGCAGTCCTAATTTAACGGTATATTTCCGCATTGTAACGGATGTTTTCATACAAATTTAATCTTTTTACGAGATGATTACTTTTACTGAACCCCAGGATTAGTGCACCGTGAAGCTTAAACGGTTAAAGTGTGTTTGCACTAGAAAATATCACATTTACTGTGTTCCAGATAGCAACTATAAAACTGTGACGTAGCGCATACACGAGCTCATTATAGTCTTCATTTGCATGTTAAAATTCGTATACGAACTTTAGTGTTACCGTGGGGTTTCCCTTTTAAAATCCTTATTTATGAACAATATTTGATGAGATTTACAACAAAACTATTAAACAGGTTAATGAAACTGTAGAATGTTTGATTTTTAGGCCGACGGCAAAATATTTTTACATATTTATTTAATGTAACTTTAAAGCTTAGATATTTTGCATGAAGCATCTGTTGTTGACATCAGGGTCTTTCAAATTGACATCTACAAAATTTATATGCTTCAGGGGTCATATAAAAAAAAACAACTTATTTTTATATAATATTTATGATTTCTTATGTAAAGTTACAAATCCTTGATCTCGTTATTTGGCATAAACCATTACATAGGTGAACCCTGCAATTGTTCAAAAAATCATTTCACTGATAATTAAAAAATGGCTGTCCCCAGTGAGTTGGTGGGGGGATGGTTAGGTCTGGCACAGTTTACATGTACACAGATTTATATAGTATACATGTTTAAAAATCTTTTCCTCCAACATACAACATGCAAAGCATAGATTTTTAGTGTGAATCATCTCTTTGTAAAAGTAGAATTATCAGTTTTGTGATGGATGCTGGATGTTTGAATGAGTATTGATTTTATAAATGTAAAGGGAGGTAATGATATAAATGTAAAGGGAGGTAATAAAAAAGAAAAGGATTTGTAAGCATAGCATTCTGATTTTTGATTATTCTTTAGGCATAATATTTGTGCTTTTGATTTTCATGTATAATATTATTTTATATTTTACTTTTTTATATGCCCGAAAGAATTTCGGGCATATTATGTTATACCCCCTGGCGTCCGTCCGTCCGTTAGCAATTTGGTTTCCGGAGCATAACTCAAGTTCCATTTGGCCCACAACATTCAAACTTCATAGGATGATTGCCCATGTTGGGTAGAAGACCCTTATTGATTTTGAGGTCACAAGGTCAAAGGACAAGGTCACTATCACCTTAAAACTGAAAACAGTTTCCGGAGCATAACTTAAGTTTCATTTGGCCCACAACATTCAAACTTCATAGGATGATTGTCCTTATTAGGAAGAAGACCCCTATTGATTTTGGGGTCACAAGGTCAAAGGTCAAGGTCACTATCACCTTAAAACTGAAAACAGTTTCCGGAGCATAACTTAACTTAGGAACACCTCGCTGATCGCAAAAAAAAAAATCTCAGAGACAATTTGGAGTTGAATAGGATCAATACGTGATGTAAACAATAGAAATATAATATAATGTGATGTGAATGTTATTATTTGACATCCATTGGAAAATTAAATCTATTTCGTAAAATAATAAATAGGGTTAAAATAATAATAGGGTTAAATCTGTGTTGAAAAGTGCTTAATGAAGTTCATGTTACTGAATATAATCAAGTGCCTTGGGAAAAAATGCTTCTTTCCTATTTATTTTTAACGCGACTTTAATCGGAAAGTTATCGATTATGTCCCATCCGATTGAACCGATGATCGATTGGGACAAATTTCATCCGATTTCCATCACTAATGATTGTCCATATTGGGTAGAAGACCCCTATGGATTTTGGGGTCACAAGGTCAAAGGTCAAGGTCACTTTTACCTTAAAACTGAAAACAGTTTCCGGAGCATAACTTAAGTTCCATGTGGACCACAGTGTTCAAACTTCATAGGATGATTGTCCATATTGGGTAGGAGACCCCTATTGATTTTGTGGTCACACGGTCAAAGGTCAAGGTCACTATTACTTTAAAACTGAAAACAGTTTCCGGAGCATAACTTAAGGTCTATTTGGCCCACAATATACAAATTTTATAGAAGGATTGCTATTAGAAGAAGGTAATACTTTATTTAATTTATGTAATGTTTATTCAAACTTCATAGGATGATTGTCCATATTGGGTAGAATACCCCTATTGATTTTGGGGTCACAAGGTCAAAGGCCACTATTACTTTAAAACTGAAAACAGTTTCCGGAGCATAACTTAATTTCTATTTGGCCCACAATATACAAATTTTATATAAGGATTGCTATTAGAAGAAGGTAATACTTTATTTAATTTATGTAATGTCTTACAAATGCTTCATCCTTAATATAAAAAAAAAAAACACTTTCGGGCATATATATATATTCTTGTTATCATTTAAAAACCAACATTATTGTTGTTTTCAGTCAGTATATATACTCCCTCACAATTGCATGGAGATAAATAATCAACACTCTTCTTCAAAATTAGCTTTTTAAGGGCATGACTGGTAACATGTCTGTGGTCTGTACTCCACAGCAAAAGCTCTGCCATATATAATTGTCACTAAATATTTATGTGAGAAGAGCATAGCTCTTTGGCATTTATCAATATAGATCTTAATATTGATAATTGAAATTAAACATGTTTTGGACAAATGTTATAGATGGGTATTCTTTCTGTTTAAAAAATATTTTTGATAACTTTAAATTTTATTTACTTAAAACAATTTTGAATTCCGGGCGTATATTGCCATGATTGTGTGGTGCTCTTGTTAAGAAAGGGCAAGCATGGGTTTATACCGTATGACATTTAAATGATGTTTTAAATAGAGCATGTAAGATGCTTGTTTCTTGGAAAAAATAGTGCTTAATGTGAAATTATTTGTCATAAAAGAAGAAAAAAGTAAACAAAGTAGTAGTTTGACTTCTGTACAAAATCAATATAACTGAACTAATTGCCAGAAAGCAACAGAAGAAAAAAATGGTTCAGGTAATTGGCCAAAATTTTCAGACACTCCTTTTACTAAAAATTTTTCTCCTCATTGGGTCATGATAAGAACAATTTATTGGCAAACAGTCTTAAGACCAATTCATAATTTGTGACGCTACGAAAAGAGCAGTTAAGTACATGTACATACAGTATAGTCTAAGTTTCTGATAATTTCAAATCATCACTCTGTTCAATCTACGACTTGCATAATGAAGTTAATTTAAAAAGAAATAACATAAATGAGCCGTGCCATGACAAAACCAACATAATGGGTTTGCGACCAGCATGGATCCAGACCAGCCTACTCATCAGCGCAGTCTGATCAGGATCCATGCTGTTTGCTTAAAAACCCTATAACAAGTAGAGAAACTGATAGCGAACAGCTTGGATCCTGATCAGACTGCGCAGATGCGCAGGCTGGTCTGGATCCATGCTGGTCGCAAACCCATTATGTTAGTTTTGTCATGGCGTAGCTCAAATTATGATAAAAAATCAATGTTTCAATTATCTGTCAGTTTACAGCCAGGATGCCTTCAGCTAGATCACATGTCAACTTGGATGAGCCAAAATATGACCAGAGTACGTTCATGGGAAGAGCGAAACATTTCCTCATTACAACCAATCCGCTGAATGTACTAGCAACAAGCAAGCAGCTTGATGAGGCGAAAGATATTGTTGAACGATACAGGTAATTTTTGCATATACCAAGCTTGATTATAAGGTTTCTAATTTGTTGGAAGATACTAGGGGAAAGGATATGGCCAATTTGCACCAAATCCTTCCTTTATTTTTTGTGTCGCTTTCTACAGAGTAGTAGCAACATATATAGAGACCTCTTTTCCATTGACTATCCTTTTGTCTGCCTGTTAATCTGTTGTAAAACTTGTCTGGACTACTGTTTAAAAACTACTGGTATTTGATTGAATGATTTTTGGCTGAGTTATTGCCCTTGAATAGAAAAAGCGTTTTGGCCTGTTAATGATTTTTGTGTCAGTTACTATACAGTAACTTTGACATGCAACAAAGTAGCTGCAACAGATAGGGATCACTTCTCTATTGCCTGTCTGTCCATCCGTCCGCACAATCATATAGAGATCTGTAAACAGAACAAAGGAGAACAACAGGCTGAGAGTTCATTACATGATAATAGAGTTAATAGAGTAAATGGCTAATGATGCTCTATTAAGCAAAGGAAAATAATAAAGAAATGGCTTGTTACTTCATTTCGGCTGGATGACATTGTGTTTTCACCGCAGCCCTTGTAAACCCCAGGTGTGTTATTAATGTTGTTTTTGTTTGATTACTAGAAAAGGTGAAGATCTACCTCATCTGACAGATGAACAGATATGGGATGCCAAGCATCTGTATGACTCTGCGTTCCATCCGGACACGAAGGAAAAGATGTTTATACTTGGTCGTATGTCTGCACAGGTTCCGTGTAATATGTCCATTACTGGATGTATGATGACTTTTTACAAGTAAGAATTTAATACATGTATATAGATCATATTCTTGAATAGCCTCTTTTTGTGCACGGGAAGTTTGGATTATGATGAAATTGCTTTTATAGTTATAATAATGATTTACATTTTATGGTGTGTTAATTCAAACTAAAATAATTTGTGTTATCTTTGTGATTTAAAATTTGAAGAAGTGAATACAGTCTGAAAGTAATTGAAACACAGGCCTCGACATTAGCGGTGGTCCGTTGGTCCAAGACCACTTGATTTTGACAAGGACCACCTAATTTTAAAACCCACTGGTCCGTCGGACCACTTGAATTTTCTGGTTGATGCAAGGCTCATTTGGGAGAATGGCGATTTTGTCAAAAACATGTTATATAATTTTGTTTAAAATCTATGTCCGATGTACATGTATATGGTTCATTTATCTCTGATTAGTTAAAGAAGTTCTTAAGTCATCAATATTTAACTTTCATTTTAAGTCGCTAAAATTTTGTTTATGCAAGTTAAAAGAGTTAAGAGTTTGTGATATAAATTTAGGTACAAAATTCATTCAAATGGTGCTAGTAATTATGCATCGTCTGATAACCACGGCGGAACCATTAACATTTATGTTATGTTACATGTTAATCAACCGTGAGTATCCGATGATGGTAATATTATTATATGATATCGGATAAACTTAAATTTCCGATACTTGAATAACGGCAGGAAACGAAAGGAACTGGAAAAATACATCTAGTAATTCTATGCTATTTATCTTTATTTTAACTGTTTAACGATAAGAGATCTGTTTCTTCTAGAGTTAAAATTATTTTAAAATGTTAAAAATACCCAATGTCAAAAATGAATATCAACCAACAAGCAACAGGGAGGTAAAATTCTGTATTAAAAATCTGTGAGAAAAATAAGATAAGTTATAGTAAATTATAACATTGTCATTATTTAAATAATTTAGATATTTCCATGTTTTCAAAGACAAAAATAAGATAATTTATTAGTTCAATTAAAAATGTTAATCTGTAAAAGATGCTATGTTATTATCATGATTATAAGACGTACCGCGTATCAGCAATGAATATTTGAATAACAGTAAGAAAATAACAGACACAAATGGCTTCACTATTCCCTAACTTGAGTTGAGAGAGAAATCACTTTAATATAAAAGTTAACATAAATAAAAGCTCTGTTGTGTATTTTTGACTGAGATAAAAACAAATAAACAAATAACTCTACGATAAAAATACCTACTGACTTGCTCTCCCTTTTCTGATTAGATGAAAAATATATATCTAAAAATATCTGTTTTCTTTAAAGATTAATAATACATCTTTGTCATAAAAGTTAAACATTTTTTTTCTACATTTGCAGTAAAAAGATATAATAATGATAACTGACCACCTGACTTCTGGAAGGACCACCTAACTTTCAAATCTAGTGGTCCGGCGTACCACCTGCTAAAAAAGTTAGTGTCGAGGCCTGAAACATATATGTAGTTTGAAGATTTCTTTATGTAAATGTTGTGACCTGTAAATGAGTTTTTCTAGCCAGACTGCTATGACCAAGTGGTAAATTTCATGTCTTAATATCACTTTCCTATTACGGCTGTTTGCCTTGCATTGAACTTTACATTCTTACAAATGAGGCGTATCCGGCTTACAGAAATGTGATGGTCCTGCTCAGGTGCTTGCTCAAACCTGAACTAATGTAGGTTAGGCAGCTGAGGTGAGGTCTACATTCACCAATAATGGTGGAAAATGACCATTTGACTGTCACAGTGTCAATATAATTAAATAAATCCTAACAAAAAACAAAACAACAACAAAAAAACAAGAACAAAAAATTTGAAGTTGTGATAGTTATATAAGTTTTTCAATATATTAATTAATTAATTTAATTAATTTTAGCATTGTTACATATTTTGTTCATTAGCTACAAGCTTATTCAAATTCCATACATAAAACATGACAAAAAGTAGTTTCAAAGTGTGAAGTCTTATTTTGTTTTGACTGCCTAGAATCATAGTTTTGTGGCATTTAGCAGTTTGAATATTTGATGATGTTTGCAGTAGTATGTTGTAACCCTGGTCCTTTCATTCCCAGGAGGTAGTGTGGACTTTTTTTTAAGCCCCTCGCCATATCATTACAGGACAGTTATGTAATAAAAATCCCAGCCAAATGCCCATGCTCTGTGAGTTAGACATCTCCTCTGGTATTTTGATGCTAGGATTGTAAACAAAAAATATTTCATTGGAGTTGTTTGTGAATATTCAGTACAGGTACAGTTTTAAACATGTTTATTTTAATACTCACACCTGTTCAATGTTATATGTGTTATTTATTATTTGGCGTTTTTTTAGTCTCTCATTAAACAATTTATTACTACACTAAAATTCATTTTGCAAAAAAAAAGCAAAAAAAACAAAACGAAACCATGTATAAAGGCACGGTTATGTGTTATTTATTATTTGGCGTTTTTTTAGTCTCTCATTGAACAATTTATTACTACACTAAAATTCATTTTGCAAAAAAAGCAAAAAAACAAAACGGAACCATGTATAGAGACACAGTTACATGTAGGTACCGTTGGCCTAGTGGTTAAGGCGTCCGCCTTCGGATCGGGAGGTCGAAGGTTCGAGCCCCACGGGGAGCGTTAATTGAAGGATGATTGTTTCTCGTGGGACTCGTTCCAAAATGGCCGCTTCGTGAGCCGCGAGGTAGTTAAAATGAATGGTTACCGATTTCTATCCGCCTGGCGCCTGGCAATTAGTGGTAGGAATTGGGAGGTACATGGTATGCAACCAAAAGGTGTCTCATAAGTCAAAATGGCTGGCCCTTTCAGTAGGGGTGACACTATAATAAACAAGACCTTTACCTTTACCTTTTGTAGGTAGTACAAACCAGTTAATTTCTGTATTGTCTAACAAATCTCAAATGTACATCAGGTAATAGAATAAAAAATTCAATTAAGGAATGAATGAAATAATTGTACAAAACTTAAATATACTCAAAAAAAAAGAAAAGGTATTCACAGTTAAACCTGTACACAAAGGCCACATATGGAAATCCTAAGTCTATAGAGACAATCCTTTGTCAAATACATGTACATGATGTACTTATAAAATATTATACCTTATTCATGAAACCTCGTGTCACCAAAGAGCACATTTTTCAATTTCTTTGGACTGGCTTTTTTATTACAGAGTTGACTGTTCTGAAAGTAAAATAAACACATTATTTAAGCATATGCTGAAAAACAACCAAAAAAAAAACAACAAAACTTAGTTTATACCTGTTTTGCTAGATTGTTTATGTTTTTCTGTTGCATTGGACATGATTCAAGAAATTATTGCAAAGAAAAAAACAACAGAACAACCCCCCCCCCCACACCAACCAAAAAATGCCAACACACATTGCATATAGCATTATGTGTTTACCTTGATTATTTTTGTTTGTCCTCTTATTGTTTTCTTACCATCTTCTCACTAGATAATGTTGAGAAACATAGATGCCTGTCATGTTAAGGTGACGCATCTGCCATAATGATTCATAAATTGCTGCCTGTCTTAATGTAACAGTAATTCTGGAAAATGTCAAATACAGTTCCAGTTCTTCACCTTTGTTCTAAAATTTGAAAGTGGGAACCAGTCTCGAATGTTAAAATCTGATTGGTTGAATCAGAGGAATGTTTGAAACTGACAAATGGTAGAGATCTGTTTCCAGACTTGTACCCAATGTACGTTTTTCCACGATAAGCCTGTATAGTGGAAGTCTGTCCTAACAAATAAAGAGCATCGAGGAGTAGTGGAAGATGTTAAGTGATAGCACTGTGTCTACAGTTTAGGGAAGCTAGAACAAGTATTAGAAGTTCCAAAATGGCTTGGAATCGCAGTTCAGCCGGGTATTCAAAATTTGTTCTTTTTTTGTGAAATAAACTCCTTCCTGAACAGTAAAGCTATTTTATTTTTAAGAGAAATATTCCATGAATTTTTTACCCCCCGTAGGAGCCTACACTCTGGTTTTCTAGCTAATGATTATTTAATTCCTGGCAATAAATAACATGGCAGATGGTGTGACCCATAGGTGCCCTGTTTTAAGATTTTTGTCCTCCATTTTGTTATCATGTGACATTGAATTCTCTGTTTTGATTGGCTTAGGGCAGGCAGTGTACAGATAGAAGTGGTCAAATCTTGTTAACTGTGTATGTCACTGTCCAAGAACGGGGGCACACAGTTACTGTTGATATACTGGTATTTAATCTTAAAATTGAATAATTGTACATTTGTATCTTGCACTGTTCTCTCAAATTATCTATTAGCCATATTAGCTATAAACCATCTACTGCTGGAGTGTTCCATTTGGGTTATGGGTGGAATCCGCACATAGAGAAACTTGGATCTGAGACTTGACCAGTTGATAAGACAATCAATATTAAATTTTAAGCAATCAAAATTTAGTGTTTTAAAATATATCTTCTAAATATAAAATAAATAATCTTTTCTTTGATTTTCATCTTTTGCTGCCTATTTTCTATTAAATTTTGTCCTTTGTTGAAAGTTCTCAGTTTGTAAATGCTATGTTAATATGGTAACATTGAAAATTGCAAATAAAGTTAATTGAGCTGTTGTGCATGTGTTGCGTGCAATAAAACTTTCATTACATGCATTATTTTATTTCTAAAGCATAATTATTACATGATGAAAAAAAAAATGTCATGTAAACATTGTCAGACTGAAACTAAATTATGATCAAATATAAATAAAATGTATATTTTATTGCTTTATATAGCTATTTGTTGTATTTTATTGCTTTACATAATTATGTATACTTCATAGTTGCATGCAATTACCGTATTTGTTATAATATAACATATCATGGTGGTGTTAATAATAAAGCTTGAAATCAACAACAAAATAAATGCATTGGATTTTTCAGTACACCCCCCTCCAAAAAAAAAAACTGCAGAAAAGCTCAATATATTCTGTCCAAAAGATATTTTTATGTATTATCTGGGTG